GAATAACAAAATAACAACCCCACTGGGTTACTCGGGACAACATATGTCAGGCCCCGGGCACAGTGCCCAGTCCCTTCCCAACCTTTCTGTAAGTCAATCTGCTCCAAGTCACCCCATTAAGTCCAGGCTCCAAAGAGATGAGACAGTAAGACCCCAAATCTATTGAACAGCTTCAAGACTGGTCCCACTACCAGCAATGTGTTCTCAAGCCAGTCACCTGGCACTTTTGTGAGCTTTTGTTTCCTCACCTTAAAATGGACATAATGCTAATAACTAGATCTGAATGTTGGAATGATTGAAGGGGACAATGTTTCCACAAAGGGCCTTGAAGACCCGAAGCCATGTGCAAGTGTGGGCTKTCAAGTTTGGTTGACTTTTAACCTGACCATTGCAAGAAAGGCTCTTTTGAGACATCACAGTCTACGMGGGCACCCTGGCCCTGGCCTCGCCACCCTACAGTGGAGCAGGCAGCTAAGGCACTGTCAGGTAGCRGACTGCTTCTGGGCAAAGTGGCTTGGACTGGGATTGAGAACCTCCTCTGTGAAGTGTGGTAACAGTGKTACTGTTACAGGGCAGAGGCCTGCCACAAAACTGAGGCAGTCACTGAGATCTCTGCTTCAAACCCCAATTCTTGCAATCATGCCAGAAAGATTTCAGACATGTCACTCAGAATAACAGGCATGAGGTTACTGAAGGTATAGGAAAAGGGAAAAAGCAACACTCTCACAGGAGAGAGTGGGTCCTCTCAGAGAGAAGGACAGTGAGCTCCTAATGCACTCCAGTTTTTTGGGGAGTCCCCGGAAGTTTCCAGAAAGTCCCACCCAGATCCATCTCTTAACTTTTGACCAACAGCAGAATGAAATCAGACTTTCAAGTCACCACTGTCATGACAACTCTAGGTCACTTTGGCTCATGTTCTAATTGGAACCTGGGGAATTATACTTATCTCTCTGATTTCCATGATCTGGTCTGTGTAAGGGTCACAGAAGTCCACCCTCCCCACCCCATCCCCACACACATGTCAGGGTAACTTTGTTCTTATCAGCTTTTTGGCCTGCCTTTCTCCTGCAGATAACAGGTTGTTTGCTGAGCAATGTAATATATGCTCTATTTAATCGAGGCTGCAGGTACATTGTTTTTTTTAAAAAAAAAAAACACAAAGCATGTGGGGGTCAGCACAGTGGACTCAGTTTATAAAACTGTTTCCTTAACTTTGAGTTCCCCCTGCTCATGTTTCGCTGTTCCCTGTCAGAATCTCCTCAGGGGGTGACTGTAAGGGTCCAAGACAGTGGCACATTTTGCTGTTAATATTGTTACTATCATTCTAATTCTAGTCACAGTGTTGCTATCACGTTGTTCCAACCTCTAGTTTCTGAAGTGCTTCCACTTTTCTCACCCGGTGTGCAACATGGGTGGGATTGCTGCATTTCATMGAAGAGGCTCAGCCTTCAGATTTCAGGCCCAAGTGCGAGATCTTTCCCAGGAGGGATATAAGAGCCCACACTTGGGAAGGCACTGAACTCAGACAGTGCAGCCCTCTGGGTCTGAGGCCTTGGGAAAGTTTGGAATTCAAGCCTTTCCTGGAGCCAGGTTGCCTCCCTGGGCTTTTGGCAGTATCTTGGCCCTGGCAAAGCAGCACAGAGGTGTTTGTCACCAGCCACAGCAGGTGAGCAGCCTACAATGTGCAGCAGGCCTGCCCTAGCCTGGGGGTGGCTCTTCCTCATTGTTCTGGGCAGGCATGGCCACCAGTATGGGAGGGAGTGGCCAAGGCACGATGGAAACCAGGCAAACACTTGCAAACCAGCCATTTCCACTGACGTCACTGCAGTCCCACCTCCCAGCAGAACCCAAACCAGAAGCTCTCAGACACCTCTTTCCAGCTGGCCAGAGAGGCCTGAGCCCGCCTGTTGGTAGGGACCATGAATGGGCTTTGGCGTTCAGTGGRATATTGCTTGGCATGGCCCTCAGGCACAGGGTCTGCTCTGTACCTGCCTGCTGGCTGGCACAAGATCGAGAAACCCCAGGGAGTCCTAGGTGGGACACAATTTTTGGTCCTGTGGCATGGCTAGTATTTTAGCACAGAAGAATGTGAAACTGGAAAGTGGTCATGCTAATGTCTGTTTTACTACTAACCATCAGGTTAAGCCCATTTCCGCACAGTTATAAGAGTTTGGAGGTTTGTGTCCATCAGACCAGGACTGAGTCCTGGTTGTGCCAACTTCCAGTTTTGTGATCTTGGGCAAGTCACTTAGCCTCTGGGTCTCCTCTCAGTTTCCTCCTCTGTAAAATGGAAATAGCAAGTTTACCATTGAAGGACACTGGGTGAATCAAAAAAGTAGCCCGGGGTCATACCAGGCGCACTCAGTAAACGGATGTTCTGGGTGCCCAGATACCTCCCCTGGGCAGCTCTGGCTCCCTCAGGCAGTCCCTTGTCAGGGTGCCTCAGCTCCTCAGATCCCTCTCCACAGCACTCCTACCACACAGCACCTGTTCGGGGTGTGTATTTTTTTTTCATTCTGTCAACAAATATTTATATTCCAGGCCACGTGCTAACAGAGCAGTGGACAAAACTAACCTGTCCTACCTTCATGGGGCTCACGTTCAAGGGGCCGGGGTGGGGGCAGCATACGTCTGTTAAGATAAGGACTGTGGAGGGGGAGGGTGGAGAGGTCAACATCTTAAATAAGTAGGCAGGGTCTCCTGAGAAAAGTGGTATTTCAGCGAAGATCTGCGGGCTGTGAGGTGGAGTAGTGAAGAAGGGGGCAGAGGTGCTCTGGGGAGGAAATGGCAGATACAGGCCCCAGTCAGAGGTGTGCTTGGTGAGCTGCAGGATGGGCCAGGGGCTGGAGCAGGTGATAAGGAGCACCAGGGTCAGAGACGAGACCTGGGGTCAGGTCAGGGAGGACCTCAGAGTCATCAGCTTCACTTCAACATGGGGAGCCATCCCAGGGGTCGGAGTAGAAGGGCGAGCTGATCTGACTTTTGTGAAAGGATCCTCTGGCTGCTGGGTTGAGGATAGACTTAGGGTGGGCAGGGGCAGGGGAACAGTCACTGGCTGTTGCGAACACTTGGATTTAGAGGAGCTCCTGGACCACTGCCATAACCCAGGTGGAGGAGGCTGCACCAGGGCAGGGACAGGAGTGGGGAGAAGCAGTAGCATTCTGGAGTGTTCCTAGGATATTGCCATCAGCATTTGGTGGTAAAGTAGATGCGGGGAATAAAAGATAGAAGGGACTYGAGGACAACGTCGGGTTTTTGGCCTGAGCACTAGAATGCAGTTACCATTTACTCACAGAGGAACAACAGGAAGAAGTAGCTGGGGGAGAGACGGGAAGAAAGAGGATATGYGAAGTCTTGAGATGCTGAGTAGACAGTCAGAGAAAACTATCAAAGGGCAGTGGGGCAAAGTCTGGAGCCCAGGGCAGAGCCCAGCTGGAGACACACACGCAGGTGTGAGCCACACTGGGAGGTAACCGCACCTAGAGGAGATTTCCAAGGTAAAGAGAGTCTGGGACAGAGCTCCTGGCCCCTGACATGAAGAGGACAGGCCTGAAGAAGCCAAACAGGGGCAGTTGGGGAGCCAGCAAGATAGGCGGCTCCAAAAGGAAACCCAAGAGGGGAGCTGCCAATTCTGCCCACAGGGCTGGCAGCAAATACCAATGAGAACCAGAACGGGCCATTCCACCCAGCAGGTTGAGGCACTGGTGACCTGCTAGAGTACCCGGGGTGCTGGAGAGGGGCAGGGCTGACAGATGGGTTCAAGAGGGAACAGGGAGAGCTTTCAAGAACCCTGAGTACAGGAAGCTCTTTGGAGAGCTTTGCCAAAAAAAGGGGAGCAGAAGAATAAAACAGTATCTGTAGAGGGGCTGGGAGGTCAGGAGAGGATCTTCTGCAAGTTGAAGCAGCAGCAGCAGGAGTGAAGGAAGAATGAGATGACAGGGGAGGCAGCTGGAGCAATGCCCCCAGGGGCCAGAGGAGGGACCAGTGCACATCCTCCCCTCTCCTTGGCCTGCCAACTCCTGCTCATCCCTAGAGGGTCATTGTGAAGGTCACTTTCTCAGGGAAGTGTTCCTGACCCCTCCAACGAGGTCAGTACCCCTTGTGGCCTTTCACAGCACATGATGCTTCTGCTCCCAGTGCCTGAAAACTCTGATGTTGTGGAGGCCCCGTGAGGGCAGGGGCTCGCTGGCACGCTGCTCGGTATACTGTAATGTTCAGCGGATGTCAGGATGAATGGTCCAAGAACAGATCTGAAGCAAATCTGGAGACATGTGTCTGTTCTGTGCTCCCATTTGATATAATCACGTTACAATGATCGGGACTGTGCAGTCACTGGCTGTTACAAATATTTGGATTTAGAAGAGCTCAGTTGTTTGTTCCTGTTTGGGACTCTGTAGCCTAGCTAACGCACAGACCAGAGCCATGTGACCGGACACATCCTTCTACTGACACTGTCCACTACAAGCCCAACACATTCCATACTATGTCTAGTAACTCATTCATTTAACAGGCTGAAAGCCTGCTCAGTGCCATGGTCTAGGGAAACAAAGTTGAGTCAGACGTAGTATCTGCCCTCATGGACCTCAGGTCCAGAAGAGGAGACTATTTAGCAGTGTGACAGATCACACCTGTAACAGGAGCTTCAGGGGAAGGCTCAGGATGAGGCGATATGACAGTCAGAGGATTGCAAGACAGACTGTGCCTCCTCTTTCCCACTTCAAGCTTCCCTGGAGGTGGCTCTCAGGCTCCAGGAGTGGCAGGATCAGGACCCCAACATCCAAATGTCCAGGTCCTCCTTTTCCTCYCTACCTTGCTGGGCCTGCTGTCTCTTATCACTTCCAGAATGGCTCCCCTGCCCCCCGACTCCAGGAGAATAGAATGTGGCCTCCCAAAACTGTATTTGGGAAATGCTCCACCTGGCAAGAAGGTTAGGACCCTGATGGCACTGGTTACTGGCAGGAATCGAACTGTCACTGATTCTCCCCTCTGTTTACTTTCAGGGTTTCATAGAATCCATTCACAAAGAATAACCACCACATTGCAAGGACCATGAGGCCACTGTGCATCACGTGCTGGTGGCTGGGACTGCTGGCCACCCTGGGAGTTGCTGCAGGCCCCGAGGATGGTTTCGAGGGCACAGAGGAGGGCTCACAGAGAGAGTTCATTTACCTCAACAGGTACAAGCGGGCGGGTGAATCCCAGGACAAGTGCACCTACACCTTCATCGTTCCCCAGCAGCGGGTCACAGGTGCCATCTGCGTCAACTCCAAGGAGCCAGAGGTGCTCCTGGAGAACCGYGTGCACAAGCAGGAGCTGGAGCTGCTCAACAGCGAGTTGCTCAAGCAGAAGCGGCAGATTGAGACCCTGCAGCAGCTGGTGGAGGTAGACGGCGGCATCGTGAGCGAGGTGAAGCTGCTGCGCAAGGAAAGCCGCAACATGAACTCACGTGTCACGCAGCTCTACATGCAGCTCCTGCATGAGATCATCCGCAAGCGGGACAACGCACTGGAGCTCTCCCAGCTGGAGAACAGGATCCTGAACCAGACGGCTGACATGCTGCAGCTGGCCAGCAAGTATAAGGACCTGGAGCACAAGTACCAGCACCTGGCCACACTGGCCCACAACCAGTCAGAGGTCATTGCTCAGCTTGAGGAGCACTGCCAGAGGGTGCCCGCAGCCAGGCCTGTACCCCAGCCGCCMCCTGCCACCCCACCCCGGGTCTACCAGCCACCCACCTACAACCGTATCATCAACCAGATCTCTACCAACGAGATCCAGAGTGACCAGAACCTGAAGGTGCTGCCACCACCTCTGCCCACCATGCCTGCCCTCACCAGCCTTCCATCCTCCACTGACAAGCCATCAGGTAAGTCTTTCTGGGATCCCATCCCACGTGGGCCTCAGAGCCCGGTACCAGGCTTCCCTTGGCTGTGACCACAAGTGGGGGAAGAGGCACAGCCAGTTGAGATCAGGCCAAAGACTTGCACAATTCTCTGGCAATCCCTTGGGCAGGCCACTGGAGCCAGCGGAGTAAGGGGAACTACAATGCTTTGATGGATGTCTAAAGGTAGAACCGGGAAATGGGGCAGACACCCCCTGGCTTCTGAGAGAAGAGAAGGGAGGCTCATACTCCCCAGGTTCTGTAGGAGATGCTCTGTGTTGGCAGCTGGGATGTCTCTCCTGCAGGCTTAGGGATAGGCGGGGCCCAGAGCTGGCACTTTCTAAATGTCATCCCAGAACAGCAGGCCAAGGGAAAGAGCATCATTACAGTAAAGGTAGGTTAACACCCTGCAAGGCTGGGGATTGGGAAAGTGCGCTTCTCAAATCCCTGAGTTTCCTACAGTCTGCTGGGCCTGGGATTTTCAATGAGGCTTCCATATACTTTTAAATATACATTTTACCCCAAAATACGGTAATTCTCAGAACACTGTGATGGAGGAGAAATGGGGTCTCTGGTGGGTTTGGGAAATTTAACCAAGACATGGGCGCTGGATGCCTTCAAGCGCATTACCTGATATGTCTTGCAGGTCCTTGGGAGCACTCCTGTTAAGTACCTTGCCTACAGGCTGAGGAGGGCAGGCTGCATTTGAGTTCAGGCCTCTTCACTTTAACTCCTAAGTTGACTYTTCTGTGTGAAAGGACTCTGAGAATCCTCAGTCTGGGTGGAGTGGGCCAGAAACCCCTCCTTCCAGAGCTTGGCCTCTCATTTACCCAGGAGGCAGCAGCACTCCCAGTGGGCTGCCGTGAGAGGCAGAGTCATCTCCACAAGAGCAAACCACATATCTGCTCCATGGCAGTACTTTGGGTACTGCTTTGTTGTATAAGCAGGGAAGTATTTTTACTGAAAATACCCTATTTCATATTTTTAAAAGTAATCACCAGAACTGGGAAGAGCATYCTCTTCATATATCTGAGGAGCTGAACCTGCATGCCCGAGGATGGCCAGTGGGCAGGACAGAGCTTGCTGTTTGCAGGTCAGTAGGGATAGAGGGCAGCTAGGCACAGGGCAGAGGATCTGTCATAACATCTCGTAGGACAGACTGGACTGGGCATGGGGGTTAAGAACAGGTGCCTTGGAGAGAACTGACCTGGTTTAGAATCCTGCTTCCTCCACTGACTAGTTCTAGGACAAGTCACTTTGTCCCTCTCAACCTCAGTTGCCTCACCTAAAGCTTCTGATAGATTCTATTTTAATCTATCCTCAAATGACAGTTCTATAAAATCAAACACTATAAAACCTGTGCTTATTTTTCTGTTTGTTCTCTGTGGTGCTGGGGATTGATCCCAAGGCCTTGTGCATGCTAGGCAAGTGTTCTACCACTGATCTGCACCTCCAGCCAAAAACTGCTGAGTGTCTTCATCTTAAAACCAGGAGACTAAAACAAACAATCCCTCTTGAACTCTGGCATTCCAAGGCTGATGACTGATCTATCTGTACACATGCCTGTTTTACATCAGAAGCTCCAAAAGAGAGGGTAGGGTGTGTTAATAGGTCTTTACTAGAATACCTAGAAGGTGAAATGTGCCATTTGGGAACCAAATGAAGCTCAGCTGAATGTGATCATAAACCTGACATGAGTCAGGCTGGCCTCAGTGACTATCCAGAAGGTCTCCACTTGCCTAAACATCTCTAGTTTCTAGTTCAACAATTTTGGACATTCTTAGGCTTGAACTAAGCTGGTAGATTCAGAGTGAAAGAATTAAAGATCTGAGTTTGCACCCAGGCTCCACCCCTTGTTAGCTGTCTGCTCATGAGAAAATTATTTAACTCTTCTGAGCCTCAGATTTCTCTCTGTAAAATGTGACAAGTGCCATAACCACTGGGTCACGTGGTGGACACTCAGCACAGCCAGCAGGGAATGCTGTGCTTCTGCAGTGCTGCCACAATGCTGAGTCTGGCTTCCTGCTCTTCATGGCACTAGGCTCGGGGAACCAGTGAGAAATGTTGTCCCTGCTCACAGGAACTCAGTCTGGGGAGGTGGCAGGTSCACAGTGCTCATCATTTCTATTCCCTAAAAGCAGCACTTCAGTTATAACAAAGGATTTCTCTGCAGGGGGGGGGGGAAGCATCTGGTGAGGCAAAAATTTCCAGATCATTGTGAGAATTTATGGGGCCAGCATAACAGAGAACTTAAAAGCAGTGATGCAGTGAGCCARCTCCAGCTGAGGGAACTGACCCCGGAGTGCTAAGAGCCCCTCAAAGGGGAGTACGAGGCACTGGGGACACAAAGGTAGCATGACTGAGTGTGCCCTGAGGAGAGGGGAAGACTGCACAGAGATGGGACCTCTRTGCTGCATTTTGAAGGATTTGTAAGAGTTCAAGAGGCAGACCTGGGAGTTGGGAAACCTAGTTACTGGTGGGTCCCTGAGAGAGAGAGATGGGTCTGTGCAAAGACCCAGGGACACGGCCCTGCTCCTAGCCTCCCAAAGGATCCCAAMCTCCTGCTGCTTCATATTCCAGCATGATCTGAAGCACTGGTAAGGGAGGATGTGGGCTGCTATGGATCCAAGGCTCCTACCCTCACTGCACCCTTTCTGTCCCACTTGAAGAAGCACCTGGTGTGGGATGGCATGGCAGTGTGATCTCATCCCATTATGGAGATGGCTGAGGGCACATTTATTATTTATTTATTTATTTATTTATTTAAGCAAAGCCTCCCCAAATGTTGGTGCATGATCCTTAGTAGCAAATTTCTTGTGGCCCATCTTACCACTGAGCTCCCACACAAGCAGACACCAAACTGCGAGGGGGAAGCAGATAGTTTCCTTCTACCGCGTATCTGCCTAGCCAATCGGCAGAGGGCTCTTATCTGAGCTTGGGCAGGTTCTAGTCCCTGAAGACAAAACCCTCTCTGTGCTCTCTCCCAACAGAGCCTTTATTCCCAGCGACATAACTCAGCCAGAAACACCTTTGCAATTAGACACCTTTGTACCCAGGCCTCTGCAGCCTCCAGAGCTTTCACCCAGCAACCCCAGAGCCACTGCTCTTTACCCCATTGTTTGGGGCACTGAGCCCACAACACGCCCTTCTCTAGGGGACTGAGGCAGCCCTGGCTCCTTATCTGAAGCTGCATTCACTGGCCTGTTCCTGGCCACACTGAGATAGTAGCAGGCTGGCACCAGGCCAGGGGGCCTGCTGAGAGCCAGGGTGAAAAGCCCTAGCAGCTTCTGGCTTCCCTGGCTCCTAACCTGGACTCTGTCCTGCCTCCCTCAGGTCTGGCCGGACCTACCTGGGGCATTTGGTTGGGATGAAACTTGTGATGAGGCCTGGAGACCTCTCCCTATGCTCCTGCTGCTGCTGTTAAAGGGGACAGCTGCAGGGATCATTCCCTAACAAGCAAAAGAAAGGGGAGGGTGGACTCTGGACTTACCCCAGAGGCTGACAGGGAAGGACAGTTAGTGCTGCCACAGCACAGTGAGTCCCTGTTGGAAATGAATTTTTAAAAACTAGCAGGAGTGGGCACTTTTGCCATTTTTCTCTCCTGAGACAGAGGACACAGCAGCTCAGTTGGTTTCTCAGTGGATAAAGGAGGAGCCATAAAATTATAAAGTAGCAGAACCGTCAGGGTCCCTCGGATTCCCCAGCACCACCTTCTTATCACAGAACTTGTCCATGTAGAGCTGAGATCGGTCCCTGGACTTGTAACTTCCAGGACACTGAGGTTCAGAGAGGTCAAGAAACTTAGTCAAGATGACACAGATAGTAAGTAGCTCAGCAAAGCTCAAACCAGGTCTGTCCTAATGACTCTGGGACTCTGAGAAGCTGGAGGGGCACCAGTGTGAAAAATTGCTCTACAACACTTGCCATGGCCCAGCCACYGGGGACCTACCTGACCTTCTGTCACTGTTTCATGGTACTGGGTTCCAGGGCAGCCCCTTGAAAAACAGCTCTCAAAAGAGCTAGTGGATGTGTTGTTGGAACACTCACGGTGCTGACAGCCCAGAAGCTGCCCAGTGAGACCACTAGGACCACCCCTCCCCCAGCCCACAGAAACAGGGGAGTGCAGCCATGGAAAGAGCCACACAGCCCTGGCTCCTGGGAAATGAGCCAGTGGAGGCTGCAGACCAATYTCATTTAACTATCAAATCTGGACACACCTGAGGGGTTCATTCTACTCCACATTTCAGTGGATATCTGTCTTTCAAAGTAGAGCCAAGCTTGAAGTCCTGGCATCTTTAAATCTTAGTTCTCCAAGAATAGAATCAGTCACTGTAGTCTTTCCTCCAGATCACACTGCTTCACAGACAGCACAGGGCACATGTGGAGATCATCTCTCTCTCATCACAGGCATCTAGGGCTGGGGGGACGTGGACAACTTGAACAAGAGTGTTTAGAGAGTTCAAGCAACTTAGCTAAGATGACATAGCTAGCAAGTGGCGCTACCAAGGCTCAAAGCTAGGCAGATTTCTTCCCTGTATTTTATGGTAGGAAATATGCCCATTACATCATGGTTCCTTAGCATGTTGGAATGTTTTGTAACAGAGAAGGAGGTATACGGCACAGTGGCTTCCATTCTTTCTGGAAGTCAAGCAAGCATCAGTCCAGAGGGAAGAGGTGCTGGCCCTGTAGGCAGATAGGTCAGCTTCACAGCCTGAGCTCCCTGGCCTGAGTACCACAATGAGCTGGAGAGGCCTGAGGTGCAGTGCTGATGTCAAGCAGGGATGACTGTGGCTATACTTGATTTCAATTTAGCCTTCAAGGTTGCAGAGGCCGAGGGGAAAGCCACACAGGTCTCCTGTCTTGAGCCTGTGCTGTTCCCACTGTACTCCCCTCTCACCAGCCCCTAGTAAGCTGTGCACCTCTACCACCAGTGAGACCTCCATAGCCCCTCCCTGTCTAACCTCTTTTCTTCTTTGTTTTAAATC